CCGATGGACCTGTAGCACGAATGAATAATTATAGGTTGACAAATTAATATCATAAGATTAGCTGGTCACATTGGGCTATAGAAAATGACAACGGTCATTATCATATTAATTATAGGTGTCATATTATAGGAGTTAGGTGTCCACAATTATTATAAAATTAGTTGGGGACATAAACGAGGTCTTTGTGGAAATGGGTGAATTTGCAAGTCTTAATATTCATTTAAAGCACGAATTTTACTTGTGATTTTGTTTCTTCTAAAACAGCTTTAGAAGAAATTATTTTAATTTTTATTTGAAAATTAATTTTTAAAAGAGTTTTTAATTGGCTTTCTCTAAAAATTCTTTTATCTTGAAAAATCAATTTCATAAAATTAGTCAAATAAATTGAAAAACAACTTTTAGATCTTAAAAATTCATTTTGACTTTTCAAAAGGCATGGTCTTCCCATTACCATTTCTTTTTGCGCTTCACGCTCCAAATTTTTGATGAATCAATTTATCTTTCTTGAGCAAAACAGAGGATATCTCGTTCGGAGGAGAGAATGAGAAAATCCCATATAACCCTTAAAAATTTCGAAATGATAGACGTTAAAAAAATTTCTTATTCAGTGTTTGATCAATTTATGTGATTTTGATGTTGAAACAGATGAAAAAATGAGAGTTTTTAACTGTGTTGGAATAAACAGATAAAAAAAGTTAGCTGATTTTAAAATTTTAAGTGGAAAGTGTTTGATTTTTACTTGTTAACTAAAATAGTAGTATTGTCTTTTAGATAAAAGTAATTTTTTGTAATTGTATTGTTTATTTAAAGGTATCTTTGTCTTTTATAATTCAAAATGCCATTATGAAAATATATTTAATTGTTGAAAATCCAAAGTGAAAATTAGGAAAATTGATCATGCCAATTTTGAAAATACCCGGAAAGAGGTTTTGGTGAATGGAGAAAAAAGAAAATAGAAAAGAAGAAGACGACAAGTTAGTCTTTGCTGTCAACCAGAAAATAAAAATAATTGGCATCCACATGGGCAGCCTATTTCAGTGAAGACTTCTAGGACAAAATTTTTGATTCATTCGAGTCAGGACTGTGCAACCTTACGACTGATTGCATCTAGAAGGAGGCACTGAACAGAGATTCTATAATCCATTTTCTGTTTTCTATCATTTCTTGCATATTGTTTCTAAGTATCTCATGTTTAAATATATTTCTTCGTATTTCGAATCATTAATGATAAAAAATTATATCATCATGTTTATTTTCGACCTAATTTTTTAATGTATTATTTCTCAATTGAATAGAAAATTTTGATTATTAGTTAAAATGTCTTGTAGGGGCTGTACAAAGAGTT